AAAAAAACCGTTTTCCACAAAGCGCATTGCCGAGTAAAGAACTGCATACTCTATTCCATCCGTGTTCCACATCAATGGATTCGATTATGTGCGGTTTTGAAAACTCACATATTGTGAGAAATAACAATGTTCTGGAAACCTATTAACCTCCTTGAGGCAATGAAGCATAGAGTGTTGTGTTAGTCACAGTAAAAATTTGATACTAACATCGTATAAAGTCATCAATAGACCCATGTACTGATGACTTTTGACAAGGCAACGAAAGTCAGTCTTTGGGAAGAGGCGTGTGGGATGGCGTGAATCCTACAATATGTATTCCATTCTTTCATTTCAATCATTTATCCATGTTACAATTCTAGTGATATTCACTATATACTAGGTTTTTTACCTGGTAAACCACTGCCGTTCTAATCGAATGGGTTTCGTTGGCTACTGCAGCCTCCCTACGTATCTCCTATATTGGAAAACTTATAAGAAATCACGGTTCTTTTCCCGTCATCCGCGAACAAACGACCCTTTTCACCAACCAAAACTTTTTCTTTAGAGTATTTTTAAATGTTTGATAGCGCAGATTCCACAAACTTCAAAAATGTGATTACTTTTCGAAATATCTTTTTAAACAGCGCTGTAGCAACAATAAAAGTGCTGTGCTTTACATACGCGTATTTCTCGTAAGACAGAGCTCTTACCTTGAGTCATTAGTAACCAATCGGTCGTATAAGTCTCGACAATTCTATTGCTGTGTTCAATTTTTGAAAAGACGGTTTCACTACAGTGTAGGAGGGAGAATGAGATTGAGTTTCACATACGCGGCGCTTTGTTTGTCTTCTAGTGTGTAGGCTGGGAATGAGCTGGGTGCGTGTTGGCCGTGAATTCGATACGGCGATCAGTTTATCGCGCTGGTGCATCTCGGATGTGGAGTGCATTTTTTATTGAAGAACTTGGGATTTTTCACGCCTTCGAAAGAATCTCTAGATGAGATGATGATTTTGACATAACAAGAATTCCAGCGAGGTCATAACAAAACGCGCTGCTGATTTAGAGCAGAATTTTGTTTTGAATGCTTAAGCGTTGTAAAATGGTCTTTTCGCAAAAGGAGTCAGCGCGTTAGCCGAAGATCTAGACTTTGAATAATTACAAGCACTCATATGGAAAATACTTGTCCAGCGAAAGGAGGGGGTTCTTTGTTTGTTCTTGGATAACGGAAGAGCCAAAATTACAAGGGGCAGTCTCTATTAAACGATGTATCACATAGCTCAAAAGCTTCATATGAATTAATCTAATTTTACTGTTAAGAGCAACATCTATATCAGATTATGGTTGAAGAAAAGTGATCACTGGTTTCTCAGAATATTTGATATATTGAACATTATAGAGGAAAACCTATTTCTTTTCGATTTTAGTTGATGAAAAGCAAGATCAGCACTCTGTATGCTTATCAGCGCAATCGTCCAGAGCCATCATTAGCCGATCGAGTAGTGGTTGGTCTGTGTTGGGCTCTACTACTGCTCACTTTTCCACTGTCGTTATTCTTCTGCGTCAAAGTCGTCAACGAATACAAGCGAATGGTAGGTTCCTGATTGCTAGGGTGACTTGGTAGAGGTAAATAATTTACAATGCTTCAGCACTCCCAAGACTGCAATATGCCTAGTAGAGAAGCGGAACGACATTAAAATTTATTATGCCAAATCGTTTCAGGTAGTGTTTCGACTTGGTAAAATCTGGTATTCCCGGCCGAGCGGTCCTGGTGTGGTTTTAGTGCTTCCCTTTGTTGATCAACATGAAACAGTTGATTTACGGTAGATTATAGATTACTTGCTTGCTTAAAAAAGGCCACAGATGGTCTATCACGAATATTCACCTAACTAGTTTGTTGAATGAACAATAATTGAGAAGGTAGCCAATGTGGATAAAAAATCGCGTTCACATGCAAGACCCGAAGTAAACCAATCTTCTAGAAAACAGTCTTAGTGTCCAATCTATAACTTCCTTCACTGTAACCAACAAAGTTTTTTTTCGTAAGTCAATGAGGTATTTAGCAAAATTTTAATTCTTTTTCTAGATTAAAAATGGCTCATCCGTGCTGTAACTCGATTCATCCGTAATTTCAGCTCTTGTTTATGGGGATGAATTTGATCTTTTTCGATTCGCTTTTGTTCTATCATAAATAAGTCACACACCGCCGCCATCATCATATTCTAGAAAATTTCGAAAGTTTTTATCACTATCCCTTGTATGAAGGACAATGCACTGAAATAGCTTGAACAAAGCGGTACAAGCTCTGATGAAAGTTTCGTGAAGACCCCTTTTTTAAAAATATGATCGGAAAGACGAGTGAGTAAATGTGGTATTAGGAGGGCGATAACATAGCTCTAGTACTAATACTCATTACAGAGCTATTTCAATCTATCCAGGCTTCGGTTTACATCGACAGGTAGCCACCAGGCCCTTCATTCTTTTGGGGTAGGGAAATGGTGTTAGATCTATCTAGACCAACCTCACTTCCTCGATTCCATAGAGTCACGCTCTAGCACAACCATTCTCGGATTCCCGAATCGGCTCAACCAGCAACTAACGACATTTATGATGAAAACCAAGAAATCTGCAGGTAGTATCTGAAGCTACACGCAAAGAAATTACATTTGCTTTTGTGGATATGAGTGCGAGGAGAAGAATCGATTACAAAAACTCCTGCTACCGGTGCGGTGTAATACAAGTCATACCGATCATTTGAAAAATAATAACAACGAATGTAGGGTAATTAAAGACAATGAGTTTAATGTTACAGAGGAAACGATGAGGAAAAATCACAGACGCATTCAGCTTATAAGACACCTATAGCTGCTGAATCATCGACTTGAGATTGATGTAATTCTTCGATTGCTTTAATACATAATATTAGGATAGAAAGAAAGATGTGGGGGACTTAAGAAAAATTGGGAATTTATGCATGAATTTCAAATAGAAATACTAGTAAGTTTTCTCCAAAATAAAGACCATCGTTCTCTACTACCTTCTACCATCGGTCCGCCAACTTTCGGATCTGGTTGAAGTATCATTTCTTCAACCTCGAATCAAAGAACTCTTGACATATTTCTTAAACCTCATCGAACGATCTAAATCGGCGACACTTCAGAAAGTGTTGCATTGATCGGAAAAGGCCTGTCGGATGAACGCAATATGGACTTTAAGCGGGATCAGGCAGAACCTCGACTCCGTCCATTTCATCAAACTTGTCTTTGTTCTTTTTGCCAGTGTAGTTTGGCATTGTCTTGCTACGCCAAAACGCGATTTCGGTTGACCAGTTGGTTGGTGATTGGTGGTTGGTTTGACTTGTTTTCGAGGTCAAGATTTCCGGCATTCAAGCGTTGAAACCAGCTTCCAACATCAGATTTCCTTCTTGTATCTTCCCCGTCAACATCATGAATTTCATTGACCGCAGCTCATTGTGAAGACCCTTTCTCCAATAATGACGCCAATAGAACACAAACTTCAGTCGTATCACTGGACATGACGGAGGCTTGTAACAAAGTGAAAATAAAGACATATAATATCTAGGTCTTCAGTAGAAAAATCCCACGCAAGGATATGTGGTATTCCTATGGTATACATGGGAGTTATTTCACGCTTATTAAAGTGCTCCAGAACTTTCTTTCCACTGTAAGTATCTTACCAAGGTTATTCAGAGATCACGGTGATGCTTGAAACAATATTTCAGGACACGTCATTGTTTCATTAAGTTTAGTCGTTCGCAGGAAACGAAATTATTTTAACTTATGTTGATGCCCTCATAAAATCAATGCATTGAAACTTGTACTTCTTTTAATACAAGAAAATTATTGCATAAAAGCTTTCAATCAAGTTTTGAAGGAACTGCTATTCAGGACAATGTCCTATGATGTACCCACGCAAGAACTTTTAACAATGGATAATGTGACGGTTTCTGTTGATACAGCTGTGCACTACAGAACAAGGTGACCACTCTGGCTATAATAATGAGTAAACAACATAGCTGTTAGCATTGTAGTAAGTCGATTTTGGAATTTTAAGAGATCCGATAGCATGTATATCAGAGGTTTATGATGTACATTATTCAACAAGGCAGTTGGCGCAGACAACGCTACGAAATGTTCTTGGAATGCGAACTCTATCACAGATCATGTCAGACAGGCAAGCTATCGCTCTACATGTGACGCATATTCTCAATAAAGGTTTGTTATTCTTCAGTGATAGATTCAAAGAACGCCTTACTGATACTCCTTACAATTTAGTCAATTTATATAAATGGCTTTGTACCTGCTGAACACGATTTTGAACATATTATACAATATAAACGCGTCTTCAAGTTCGATTCCTTGCTTTGAGACCAGGAAATGTAGATATATAAATTTTGAAACAAATACAAGTATAAATACAAATAAATAAATAATTGTGAAAGGTGTAAGAAAAGTTCTGATAATTTTTGAGATATTTTAACAGTAAAAAGGCTCCATAAACAATCCATTCAGTTGAAGGAATAACTGCACTTCATTTTATTTGACCGTGTATTGTGGTGGTATGATGTTGCAATAAACCCAATATTGTAGAGTGATGTGCAAGAGCATTTGCGTCAGTCAGGATTCGAACCCAGATCTCACTCTTTTCGGGAGTGTGTGCTGAACCGTTGCACCACTGACGCACGTTTTGCACAGCACTCTTCTTACGCTACAACGTGTTATCTGTCAACAGCCAACCGTCTATGGTCTGGCAGGGCAATCGCTATCGACATTGACCCCATTAATGCTGACAGATATTGAGTTTCAATAATCAATTAGATTCCACTTTATTTGACCGCGGATTACGGTAGTATGATGTTGCAATAAACCCAATAATGTAGAGTGGTGTGCAATATGTGTCAGCATAAGTGGGTTCAATGTCGATAGTGACTGTCCCGCCAGACCGTAGACGGTTGGCTGTTGACAGATAACACGTTGTAGCGTAGGAAGAGTGCTGTGCAACGTGCGTCCGTGGTGCAACGGTTCAGCACACGCCCCTGGAAAGAGTGAGATCTGAGTTCGAATCCCGGCTGGCGCAAATCTTTTGCACACCAATCTACAATATTGGAACAATTACATTTATTGAGAAAACAATTACAACAATGAACGAAAAAGTTTATAACAAATTCTCAGAAATGCCTCCTTTGGCCTATATACATTTACGAGATCGCTTGCGAAAATTTACGACGAAGCTCGCACACGTTTCCACCGTGATTTCGTCCCGAGTGCATGTCAAAGTGGGGTAGTGTAGCGAGTATCTGAGAATTTTCCTCCAGTATGGACCACACGGAGCAATTCGTTTGGTTGAGATCCGGCAGCTTTGACGGTCAAATGCCCTTGTCCCAAAAGCTTGGAAACAGCTCTTGACACACAACAATCGCTGAGTGGCCGAATTCACAGAAGCCCAGTCCTGCTGAAGCGCAAATCCATCCGCACCAAAGTGTTGAGTAGTGCAAGGCTCCTGCACGCTCCGTAAGGTTTTCTGTTGATAGCAAGTAGAGTTGATTCAAAGTTCCCGTTGATGAAAACCAACGGAGCTTTTCCAATGGCGCTAATGCAGGCTCAGACCATCACAGAGACCGAAAAATGACTTAGCCCATTGTTTTTGCTACTGCGGACTTCTGCTGATCATTCTTGAAAAGTTGACGTCGGTTCTCACAATGTAGTAGTTCGGTCGTGAATATCTCCTCATCCACAAAAGCACCTTCAACAGATGAGGACGAGCTATCAAATGAAACATTTGGTGAGCTTTGTGAAGCTCTTTTCCTTTCATCTTTTAGTGCAGAAAGTGCACGCAGCGATCTTGTATCTGCGCACCTTCTGCATATTTTTGACAATATTGCGGACGATCCAGTCGCTGATCCCGAGCTTCTCTGCCGTTTTGCACATCGAATGCTCCAAATTTTGTTCACTTTGGCAACAGATCTTCCAAATGATTTCCAGAGTAGACGAGGTAGGTGGGCAACCATTCCGAGGACAGCCCTCAATCCGTCCAGTCTCTTCAAAACGTTTTACGTGTAGAGATTTGCTGGTTTGAAACCAGTTATTTTTATCAATACTGACCGTTTTCATTCCCGTCATGTGCTAATCAGCTACTGCGATAGGTTTGTTTTTACGATCCACAAAAATAAAAAAAAAATAATTCAAGCATAAATGAAAATAGACAACGAAATAGAAAACGTTGTGGACCAAAATGAAACAATGATTTCAGTAATATTATCAGAATTAATAAAATATCAGGCTACAAAATTATATTATATATATACATATATATATATAAGGCTGACTGGTATCCCTAAGTATGCAACAATTGTTCATCTACCTTTAATAATGGTCACTGAAATCGGTAGAACTTCAGTGTTTCTACCTAAAAGCCTTGTCTAAAATACACTTGTGACACTGTTGAAATCTGCGGGCTGATTGTGAATGCTATTTCGCCAAGAACAGTAAATAAAGGGCATAATGGGTATTCTGCTCCGTCAATCTAGGTGCCTATTTCAGTAACAGCAGTTTGGGGAATTCGAGTGGAAAGGGTGGACATTAAAGATATTCGAATTCCGCGAGAGTTGTACAATGCTATGGCTGCAGAAGCGGAAGCAGTAAGAGCATCGGAAGCGAAGCTCATTTGGGCACTGGGCGAATCAGGTGTGAGTGATTAAAGTTATAATTTCCTATGCTATTGTTTTGCGAACAAAAATGCCTGGTCAATTTCCAGTTTATCATTCATATAAATGGAAAAAATAAGATAAAGTCAACTTTTTTAGTATAAGTTATTTCTTGTTCTGCTGAATACTTCCATAACTCTAAGTAAAAGATCAACACAAGGGTTTAAAAAAAGTTTACATCGGGTTTATCATCCATGTCTCATATAACTTTAGATTATTTCGAACTGTCCATAGTTAATATAATTCGTGAAGGATTTAAGGCTTTAAGGTGTGGGAGGGGTAAATCTCTCTCAAGTATTGTTCAACCTCCTTTTTATTTCAGATTCATTTTTCTCATAGTTTTCAAACAGACCTAATTAGCATCATTGGAAACATTTGATAATGTTGGCGGTCTGTTGTTGAACAATGCCCAGTTTTGGGATTCACAAGTGACGTTTATGGATTTCAATGAAATATTAACGCCAAAGCGGAATTAGAGTGGCGCTATAGCATCACCGTTCAATGAACAAAAATCCTCTGTTTGCACCCATTCCGGCCTAAGTTTCCGTCCATGCGGTGTAGAGGAATTGGCATACACATGTTCATCGCGCTCCCTTCAACCCACAAAGTTAGAAACCACCCACGATGAAGATCTAGAGGGACCCAGGTGAGGTTATCGCCGAATTCTAAGGAAAATTGACGTGGTGATTATGCTACGACGTATGTGAGATGTACAAAGGGTCTCCACTTAACAGTCGAAACCATTCACAAGATGTAAAGACCTTCGCAGATGAAGGGTGCGAAAACGTGTGGTTTAGTGGCTCGGACGTAAATGCCGTAGTGCTTCAACGATCACCTTCCACAGACACAGTAGCCTTAGTCAGCTGTCAGGTTAGGACAACCACTAATTTAGAGTTGAATGCTTGACTCTGTGTGAGTTTCTAGAAAGGTCTTTTGATGTTTCCAAAGAACAACTCTTCGAGGTTTGAGATAATGGCCTATAATCGTTTTTAGTAACAACTACAGTACAATAATGGCAGTGAATAAATAGGTGAATGTAGAATTGTAGAGTACAGGAAATCTGAATGAATGACGCAGTTTTTCCACAGGAATGAACCCAATATCGCTCATCTAAAGAGGAAACAGAAGCAGAAAACTACCGATCTTAGAGCGTGATTACAAGATTAAGGATAATAGAAATGCAGATGTTCACACAAAGAGGAAATTGCAGAGTCTTTTCAATCATAGCTTTGCCTAAGTATTTAAGGGCAAGGATACAGAGATGTGTCATGCCCGAATTTCGAAAGTTCATGAAACTAGTAACTGTTTGTACAGGAATTAGAAAGAGAAGTAATAGCTTGTGCATAAGATATTAGCAATTTGAATTGGGGAAGGCAAGCAATAAGCAATATTAGGTGATTAATGATCTATATATATGGAGTGAAAGTAAATGAGTAAACTAGAAATTGGGGCTGTAAAGTAATATGGTGAATATACGAAAAGAGAAAATGGATAAAAGCATGATGATGGCGCGTAATTCAGTCACGCTTTTTTCAGGCAGTAATCAATCAAGTATCATGTTTATAAAACGCAAACACAGAAATCTTATTTACTCGAAAATTTGTGCGGTTTTTTCTTGCTTTGATTAATGTTTTCCAAAGAACAGGCTTCCGTTGCTCTACGTCGTGCTGCGGACGAGATTGCTTCGTGTCCAGCCGCTTTGCACTTGAGGTCTCTTATTTTTTACTGTTCGCTTTTGCATTATGTCAGTATTTTTTGTACTAATCAAAGATCGACGTTCTTACAGGTATATACATTCACTTCTCAAAATATCAGCACATCACAATCATACTATCGTCTTGCCATTGCCGATAGAATTTGTAAAAATCGTTACCGACTCAATTAAGCTTCACCGAAGGTCGTAATTTGTCATATGAAAATGTCTCATAAAATCAACGAAACTAGGATGTATCAACTCACAATTGAATTTTCCTTATACTGTATACTTCGTATCGTTAAAACATTACACAATAAATAAATTAGTATTCAGTCAGCTTGTCAGGAGTTTCTATGACAAGATTAAAATTCTTCACTACGATACGTTATCATTGTTTTGTGTGGATCACAGCACTTCTTGCACTTGTCCTTCAGCAAGGTTTTGAAAATTGACCTGCTGTTTCGGCTGCTGCTTGATGGAGATTCAAAAGCTGAAATATTCTTTAAGGCGTTCGTTGAGTGACTGCAGAAAGTGTTGGAGGAGGGGAATGAATGAGGGCCTTACTTATCGTGCTCTCCCTGATGGACCACATCACTAGCCAGTGAGTTACTCCTTCCTCAATTACAAAATTGCCAATTAGACACAAAATCAAATGAAGATAACTTTTCCCACACTACCTTGTAACTACTTCACTAATGTTAAAGCACAAACTTTTGATGACGTCGAGTAGCGCAGTGGTTACAAGTGTGCTATAACACAAGTCGTGGCAATTGGTTCAATTTTGAGTGCTCTCTAAATCAAGCTCTCCTCTCTTTCGAGAGTGACAATTTAGTGCAAACTGGCCTGACAGACCAAAAATGCTGACTTCATCGGTCCTACAACAGGACAAGTTTGCATCCATCCACCTAAACGATGCTATGTATGGAGTTAAATGCATGACGCACTTGAATGATTATTAGGCATTGAAGTTATCTAGTCTTTTAATTAACTATGAAATATCTCGTCATAATGAGAACTTAGGATAAGAAACAAACTAAGCCAACTAAGCAGTACATTAACAAAACACAGCAGTGTTTACCTCTATTATTGGTCATGCATCTGTTCTTCTACGTGCTTTATGCTGTGTGCATGACTGTGAATACATACCGAGTGACCTATTAATTACAGAAAAATATTGGTATTGATTGGTGTCCTCAACTACTTGTTTCTTTTGAGCTGTTTTGAAACTTCATATTTCTTTTTCGTTCAGTCATAGTGATATGATCAACCAGATCTGGAAGATTAATATAGTATCAGTAGATTTATCAAGGGAAATAGAAAGCCGGTACAATCACTACACATACACTTTACATTTCTAAAAATGTGGTTATACGGCTAATGATATGGATGGCTTCTTGGATAATATTAAGATGAGTACTGATCGAATAAAAACTACACCATATGCAAGCAATATATGTTCAAAGATGAGCAACATTTGGATCAGGACATCTAACCAAATACCTAGCCATAAAAATTATAACTTCAAAGATTATTCAGACGAAATTAAAAGAAAAATGAAATCCAAGATTTGATATTTCGTTCGTCAAATGATCTTTTGATAGAAATCGTTGACGAAAAAATTGCCTAGAAGATTTAAGCCGTAAACTGTAATCAAGAGAAAAATCATGAAAAGTACCG